CTTTAAAAAAATGTACCTGTAAGAATTGGGACACCACTGCAGCCCCTGCACACGTAATCGTGATCTCTTGCTTCATATGAGATCAGACGATGCAACTGAGTTATTCCAGTTGCTTTATGTTTTGGTATTTATCTTCAGGAAATCACTCAGATTGGCTAATCGGGAGGACCGGGAGAATTTCCGGTGGGCCGGTCCATTTTTTGGCTGCGAGGGCCGGTGTCCCTTGATGCTTACACTTTCAGCAGTCAGACTTTTTTCATTTATTTATTTATTTGACCATAGCCTCACTCTTTTTATTCATTATTTTGCCGCCTAGCTCTTTTATTTATTTCCTTGCAGCCCCATGAGCAAAATGCAGCCTGCAGGTTAATGATAATGTAACTATAGTCATCATTCAATCCCACACAGCGGCACCTCAATTAATGAGTATTACACCTGCTTAATGAAAATCAGATGAATCACTACATTAATAAATCAGACATAACACGATCAGATATCTAAAGGGGAGAAAAGATTAAGCCATTAACAGAAAGTAACACTGTGGTTAAAAGAGTCTTGCAGGTTACAGCGCAACATTTAGTTTTTATTCCAGCCGCATCAGTGTAACAGCGCCGTTGTGGTCCAGTGGTCAGCATGGTGCAGTATGATACTGCCGACCCGTGTTCGAACTTCACATGAGTAATTATTTTTTATTTTTTCAATCTTATTGTTAAGACATATAATACTGTTAGGGTTGTTGAACATTTGAAGTTCTAAAGCAGCAGTTTTCTTTAAAAAGATGTGATAGTGTCATTAGAAACTGAATTGGAAATGACCTTATTTGATATAGTCAGTCGTGACCTGAGGTGGGCCGGCCTAAGGCTTGAAACTCCAGGGTTGAAAAGGAGTCCCACTCCGGCCCTGGTTCATAACGATCTAATATGGCAAAAGGTTCGTAACTGTAATGTGTATTTACAGAGTGGCCATATTCATCAAAGTAAACACACCAAAAACAACATTAACATTGTAGCAGACACTGTAAAAGCTCATTCCCAGCCACTAGACCTTTCTGACAGGGTATTCGAGTGTCATAGGGCTCTATTTTGACGGTCCATGCGCATTGCGCAAAACGCAGGGCGCAAACGCTTTCAGGGTGTGTCAGGACGCGTTTTTGCTAATTTAAGGACGGGAAATCTGCCTTGCGCCGCGGCGCATGGTCTAAAAGGGTTGAGTTTATTTTCTTAATGAGTTATAGGTGTGTTTTGAGAATAAACCAATTAGAGTCTCATCTCCCATTCCCTTTAAGACCCAGCTGCGTCGCGCCAAGAGCGCATTCGCTATTTACAGGACGCAAAGTAAGTCTAAGTGGAAAAAAATGAGCATTTCACTAGCAAACAGTTGACAGTTTATTAACAGAAAACTGTTAAACAGAGCATCTACTGCGTGAGAATGAGAGATAATGGATCTACTTTCACTTTCGCTCTTGGATAGGGAAACCTTTACCCACAGACATCAATTAGTCTATAAATAATTAACTTTGTTTGTTAAGCAAAAATATTCGTTTCAAAACTATTTCTAAATTCAGTTCTAATTTCCAGCAAACGAATAAATGAACAATAATAACAAAATGTGCTCAATAACCTGAGTTATATCCTAAAACACATGCTGTGCCCCATATGGTCTAAAACCTGACAGGTGGGCAAATCTAAGCTTGTTTTTAATAAAACAAATATAAATATGGATTTAATAAATAATACTGCTAATAATAATAACATTATACAAAAGCAAATTGTTATGAATGAACTGAAAAAGCCTCCCGAGATGAAGAAGACATAAAAGCAGTGATTTTTCATATTTATGTAGGCTAGAAAATAATATGTTTTGTAATATTTTAATCCTTTATATTTATATTCTATATCTATTCTTATTATATCCTATATATATATATCTTTAATATTTAAATATTTTATTTTTTAAAGATATTTGCCTATTGCTCTCTTGTGTGTATTAAGCAGTGTGTAAGCGAGGTGCAACTCTGCGCCGGAGTTTAGACCGGGTTAGTTTCGGTCTAATGAAAAATCTATTTTAGTTTCTCAAAATAGCAACGCGCCAGCGGTCCGCCTCAGAACGCCTTCCTTTTTAGACCAGAACGCCTATGGGCGCACAAATGAGCGCAAATGCATTTGCTATTTAAACAGCGTAGTGCAACGCCTCAAAACCACTCTTGCGCCAAGCTGAAACTACCAAAAGACTACTGCGCCACGCCTTGCGCCACACTGCGCCAGGTGTATGATAGGGCCCATAGAGTGTCAGAATGTTGTGGGACTGCTGTACAGGAGTTATTATTATGGATTATAGATAGCGAAAGTTTTAAAACACGAATGCAGTTATGAATATATGAAAAGTGAAAACATGTGCTTGTTTGTTGATGACGACGTGTGCAAGTGCTGTAGTGCTGTCCAATTTCTTAGGGGTAAATTTTGAAGCCACTACACTTCGCACTCGGTTTTAAGAGCCAAGGGGAAGGGGTAGGAGTACAAAAATAGAATTGGGATCGGGCCTAATTTGTGGATCTCCTTACTTCCGGGTGCAACTATCCTGCCATTGTGGCTGGTGCATTCCAGGAAATTTTCTTACTAATTGATTTCGAGTGTGATCCAGAAAAATCTCTGTATTAAGGGGTATCTAGCCCTTCCCTTTAGCCTTTAGCCCTACGCCTTCAAGCTAAAGAGAATTGGGACACCTCTACCCCTTCACGTGAACGTGCAAAACGAGGGGTATAGGGGTAAGGGGAACAGCTAAAGGAAAGAACTGGGATTGGGCCTAAGTGGATCGTATTGAGAGGTAGCGTCATAGTTTCCTATTTGTTCATTTCAGGATGGCATTGATTCAACCAAAGATATGTTTCACCAAGTGCTTAGGCTTCCTCATGTTTGGGTGAATGCACAAAACCTTCTTCCTTGCTTTGAAACCCAAGATCTGGTCATTTTCCACTGTCAGACTATAGTGATCAGGTCTGTATGGGTCTAAAAGAGGATTATCGGGACTGATAACATAAAATAATAAGATTGATCATAATGTATGCAAGTTAAATACGATATCAAATGTAAAGCCTACAGATGAGAATTAAACTGTATAGACCAATTTGAGGTATGTAAACAATAACAATGGTCCCAATGTATTTGCTGTTTTGCATTTTTAATTTCTATAGCTTCTGAAAATCTAAAAAGAGCCGCATATTGATTGTTACAGTTATGAAATAGTTTCATTAGAAGCAGGAAATGTTCATGGGCCTATGATGACATCACCACATTGAAATTGTCTATATGTTAAAACTCCACTAGATGCCGCCATTGATGCATTTGTAACAAACCAATAAGGAAACGGAATATAATTTTAATTAGCTCACTGCCTATTAATAAATGAAAGCGTAATCTATGTATAACTGTCAATAGCACTATAATTTCTGTTTTATAAAATGTTATTGCGCTATTACATTATAGAATGTTAATGTTGGACATTTGCTTAAAACATTTATAGCTGCAAAGGCTACACTTAATGCATTAATATTAAGCTCCAGTGCAGAATGACAACGAGACAATATAGAACGAATTATATGAAAAAAATGTAATTGAAATCATAAAAGTACTTTCATGTTTATGATATTAATAATAAAGGCTTGTTTTAGTATGTATTTAAACATTTGATCAAACACTGATCTAGAATGTCTCTCATTTAATCTGATTAAATCTGCATTAAACTCATTTAACTCCAAATCCCATGTAACACTGGGGTCTCTTGATTCAGGATGCAGTGTGTGTGTGTGTGTGTGTGTGTGTGTGTGTGTGTGTGTGTGTGTGTGTGTGTGTGTGTGTGTGTGTGTGTGTGTGTGTGTGTGTGTGTGTGTGTTTAACAGTGTTGCCATGTTCGCCCTTAATAAACGAGTTTCGTCCTTGTTTCAGTCGTCTTTGTGGCTTATTAATAAGTTTATTAACATTTTTTTGCATGTTAAATTTCTGTGTTTATATAATTACAAATAAACAACAAAAATATAGGACTTCAGTTTTGTAGTTTGCCAGGCACTTATGCTTACTGTTTTATTATCATGATTCTCCGTGCATATCCACTAGCTTATTGTTCACAGAGAGCTCTCCAATGCTTTGTCGATGACACCGTTATTTATAAAATGAATGAATTAAATTAATCATGTTTAATATACACTGTTAAATGCTGGGTGCCACACAACTGATTTGTGTTGTGACAACACGAAAGACATAAGTTACTTTATTTGTTTTTACAAATTTAAGTGGTTTGAACATAAAACAATTAAGCTCATTTTAAATTAGACGTTTGAACAAACAGCAAACTTTTTTTTTCATTGTTGGCTTGTGTTTTATGTGTGTGTGTGTGTGTGTGTGTGTGTGTGTGTGTGTGTGTGTGTGTGTGTGTAGCCAGCCAGCTAGGTGAAATGTTAAGCATTTAAGTCATTGCAACCACAGACGGAATTTATTTTAACATTTAAATGATGTCTGTTTAAATCTAATTTGATCATATTTGTTATAATAATGGTGAGTGAAGCAATTATTATTCATTATTAAATTATTAAATATTATATAATAATTATTATTTATTATAATAATTATTATTTGTTTATAAATTAATTATTTATTAATTATTTATTTATGTTCTAAGTTTAATAATAATAATAATTATTATTATTATTTATGTTTTAAGTATATTTTCAGGGGAACAAAATGAAACTATTAACATAGTCATTTTTAAGTAATAATAATATTTGGGCCCCATCAATGGCTCCTGTTAATAGTCAGTTACCCTCTGCCTATTACAAAAATTTCATCTTCCAGAATTATATAATTTCACTGATGGAAAAATATTTTAGAAAGTTAAATCAAGATTTATGATAACAAATATCTGTAATATAGAGGAGGCATAATGATAATTAAAAAGGTGCTTGTTTCTCTTCCAATATCTGGCAACCCGAATGTGAGTGTGTATGCGCGCGTGTGTGTGTGTGACTGTGTGTGTGTATTTGGGCAGGGCTGCAGTGAAGCGCAGCTGATGTGTGTGATTCTCTGTCAGACGCGCTTGTATTGCTGATCTTCATGAGCATCGGTCAAAATCGGCGAGATAATTTGAGCCTATGATTTCATCCATACGTGTTCATGCCGGAACCGCCTTTATCGTTTATTCATTCGCGGAGACAGACCGCAGAGATTTGCTCCAGGACTGACATTATGCGCTCGGTTACCGGGGGGTGCTGATGCTGACATTCCCATCTTCCTCCATCCATCTAATTTACGCTCGTTTATTAGACCTTCAGCCATCATGTCCATGAAATCAAAGACCGGTGAGTCGGTGAAGGTGGTGGTCCGGTGTCGCCCGCTCAACCGTAAAGAAGAATCGTCGGGTTATGAGAATATCGTGCAGATGGACGTGAAACTGGGCCAGGTGGCCCTGCGGAACGCCAAGGCGGGTCCCGGAGATCTGCTCAAAACCTTCACGTTTGATGCGGTTTACGACGAGTGCTCCAAACAGGGCGACCTGTATGACGAAACAGTGCGGCCGCTCATAGACTCGGTGCTCCGCGGATTTAACGGCACCATCTTCGCGTACGGACAGACGGGAACCGGGAAGACGTACACCATGCAGGGCCAATGGCTGGACGCCGAGCGCCGCGGCATCATCCCGAACTCCTTCGAGCACATCTTCACGCACATCTCGCGCTCGCAGAACCAGCAGTACCTGGTCCGGGCCTCCTATCTGGAGATCTACCAGGAGGAGATCCGCGACCTGCTCACCAAAGACCACAGCAAGAAGCTGGAGCTGAAGGAGAGCGCAGACTCAGGGGTGTACATCAAAGATCTGTCCTCCTTCGTCACCAAGAACGTGAAGGAGATCGAGCATGTGATGAATGTGGGCAACCAGACCAGATCTGTGGGCTTCACCAACATGAACGAGCACAGCTCGCGCTCTCACGCCATCTTCATCATCACTGTGGAGTGCAGCCAGCTCGGACCTGACGGACAAAACCACATCCGAGTGGGAAAACTCAACCTGGTTGATCTGGCAGGCAGTGAGAGGCAAACCAAAACAGGCGTCCAGGGTGAACGTCTAAAGGAGGCCACCAAAATCAACCTGTCCCTTTCTGCTCTAGGAAATGTAATCTCTGCTTTGGTGGATGGGCGAAGCTCTCACGTTCCCTACCGAGACTCCAAACTCACCCGGTTGCTCCAAGACTCGTTAGGTGGAAACGCAAAAACCATCATGGTGGCCACTTTAGGACCAGCCTCATACAATTACGAGGAAACCCTCACCACCCTGCGGTATGCGAACCGCGCTAAAAACATCAAGAACAAGCCACGTGTCAATGAAGACCCCAAAGACGCACTCTTGAGGGAGTTCCAGGAGGAGATCGCCAGACTCAAAGCCCAGCTGGATAAACGTGGCATGCTCACCAAGAGAAAAAGGAGGAGCAGGAGGCTGAGGAAGATTGGCGAGGAAGAGGTGGAAGAGGAAGATGATCTTGAAGACTATGATGACGAGGAAATTGTGGAGAAGGAGGCGCAGGAGTATATGAAGGAGCAGCAGGAGGAGCTGGAGCGGGAGAAGGAGGCCATCAGAGACGACCATTCACTGGTGGCGGAGGAGAAGCAGAGACTCCTGGAGGAGAAGGAGAGGATGATGAGACACCTGAAGAAGGAGCAGGAGGCCACAGAAATGCTCACAGCCAAATTTAAGGTATGTGTCTGAGGACTGAGTGTGTTTTTGAGCATCAGTTTGGTTTATGGATGTGTGTGCATGTTTGAGTTTCATAACTACTGTTAGAATTTAGAAATTGCAGGTGCTCAAATTAAAGGGTTAGTTCACCCTAAAATGTAAATACTGTCATCATTTACTCACCCTTCACTTGTTCATAACCTATTTAACATAACATAACACTTTTAACGGTATCTTATTTTAACAGAAGAAAGAAACTCAAATAGATTTTGTACTAAAGTGTTGAATTCATAAAGGTTTATAAACACATGAGCGAGAGTCATTTTAATTTTTTAGGGTGAACTATATCTTTAGATAGATGGAGGGATGAATGGATAGATAGATAGATAGATAGACAGATAGATAGATAGATAGATAGATAGATAGATAGATAGATAGATAGATAGATAGATAGATAAAAGGACAGACAGACAGACAGATAGATAGATAGATAGATAGATAGATAGATAGATAGATAGATAGATAGATAGATAGATAGATAGATAGATAGATAGATAGATAGATAGATAGATAGATAGATGGACGGACGGACGGACGGACGGACGGATAGATAGATAGATAGATAGATAGATAGATAGATAGATAAAAGGACAGACAGACAGACAGACAGACAGACAGATAGATAGATAGATAGATAGATAGATAGATAGATAGATAGATAGATAGATAGATAGATAGATAGATAGATTAAAGGACAGACCGACAGATAGATAGATAGATAGATAGATAGATAGATAGATAGATAGATAGATAGATAGATAGATAGATAGATAGATAGATAAAAGGACAGACAGACAGTTAGACAGATAGACAGACAGACAGACAGACAGACAGACAGACAGATAGATAGATAGATAGATAGATAGATAGATAGATAGATAGATAGATAGATAGATAGATAGATAGATAGATAGATAGATAGATAGATAGATAGATAGATAGATAGATTAAAGGACAGACCGACAGATAGATAGATAGATAGATAGATAGATAGATAGATAGATAGATAGATAGATAGATAGATAGATAGATAGATAGATAGATAGATAGATAGATAGATAGATAGATAGATAGATAAAAGGACAGACAGACAGTTAGATAGATAGACAGACAGACAGACAGACAGACAGACAGACAGACAGACAGATAGATAGATAGATAGATAGATAGATAGATAGATAGATAGATAGATAGATAGATAGATAGATAGATAGATGGACAGACAGACAAATAGATAGACACAAAAAGACAGACAAATAGATAGAGACAGACAGTTAGATGGATGGTAGGACAGATGGACGGACGGACGGTCGGACGAACAGACAGATAGATAGATAGATAGATAGATAGATAGATAGATAGATAGATAGATAGATAGATAGATAGATAGATGATAGATAGATAGATAGATAGATAGATAGATAGATAGATAGATAGATAGATAGATAGATAGATAGATAGATTAAAGGACAGACCGACAGATAGATAGATAGATAGATAGATAGATAGATAGATAGATAGATAGATAGATAGATAGATAGATAGATAGATAGATAGATAGATAAAAGGACAGACAGACAGTTAGATAGATAGACAGACAGACAGACAGACAGACAGACAGACAGACAGACAGACAGATAGATAGATAGATAGATAGATAGATAGATAGATAGTAAGACAGACAGACAGACAGACAGACAGACAGACAGACAGACAGACAGACAGATAGATAGATAGATAGATAGATAGATAGATAGATAGATAGATAGATAGATAGATAGATAGATAGATAGATAGATAGTAAGACAGACAGGCAGAGAGATTAGCAGTCAGACAGACAGACAATACATAAGAAGTGCAGAAGAGGCCTACATTGTTAAATTTTTCCACTCAGAAAGTTTGAGTCAATATAGCAGATGTGTGTCCCAGTCAGAGCTGTGCTGGTAATCGATCAAATGGCAGAATCAAAAACAGGTCAACAAACGCTGCGCGTATCAGAGAAGCAGAGCAGAGCATCCATGTGAACCTCCATGTGCTTTGATCTTCACTGTCACATCACTGCGTAACCATGACAACAGAGAATTCCAACACAAGCTCTAGGTGAGCTGACAATACTATGCAGAATCCGTTTAAATCAAAGTGAGACAACAGCTGCTTTACTCCAATCATACATTTGTCTGTGTGATTTCCCGCTGGTGTTGTTGGGTTAAAGAGAAGTATATTTATTAATGGTTGGTTACAGACGCTCAGCACACAGACTCCATCACAGAGGGCCAAACCGGTTCACAGCTGATGGCGCACAACATCAGCCAATCATATCCTCCTGATTTTTCTCGGTCATCATTAAGCCAATCAACAGACTGTAGGCAGGCAGAGTCTGTTTATGGTTTGAAAGCATTGATTAACATATACTAGTAGGCCTAATGTCCATCTTCAGTGTGTGTGTGTGTGTGTGTGTGTGTGTGTGTGTGTGTGTGTGTGTGTGTACTGGTTTTGATGGTTTACAAGGACAGTTTTTTGTATAACTGCATGGGTCTAACCTAGTTGTAAATTACTACAGTGGTTTATGATGTCCTTGTAATTCAAAATGCTTAAAATCATACTTAAGAGTGTCTTTTGACATTCAAAATTTGCCTAAAAGTTTTCTGTGAGGGTTGGGTTTAGGGATATGGCCATCTCTTTCTTTTTTTTTTTCTTTTTTTTTTTAACGCAGGGCTACGTTTCCAGAATGATCCTGGGTTGGGATTCGTGAAAACAAAAATTGCAAAAACAATGTAGCTCCTGGGACGAATTTGGCACTCTCCAGAAATGTACATAGAGATACTTTTTTTTAGAATGAGCTAGGGTTGATTTTAGTTGTTTATATACAGACAATTATTATTGTTTTCAAGAACTCACACTTTGAAACCTGTTTTCACTTGTCGTGAAAATGAATGGCCAAAATGCACAGTAATCATGATAACTCTGACTACTGAATTATTAATAAAAGCTAAGCTGAAAAAGTTGAACACATAAAAAAGCTAAAAACGAAACTTTTAAAAAACTATATAAAATCACATACATTAATACTTAATTATGAAAACAACAAATATGGGGAGACATGGTGGCTCAGTGGTTCACGCTGGTTCAAGCACCGGCTTTCTGTGTGGAGTTTCCTCTTCCGGCTGCCCCCACAAGTCCAAAAACATGCGCACTGTGTGTGTAAATTTGAGATTGTATTGATGTTTCCCAGTACTGGCTTGCAGTTGGAAGTGCATTATGTAAAACATATTCTGGAATGGTTGGCGGTTCATTCCGCTGTGGTGTCCCCTGATAAATAAGGTACTAAGCCAAAGAAAAAATAATAAATCTATTAAAAAATGAGACGGAAAGCAAGCTTGATCTTGCTGATTCTCCTAGCAGAGGTGGCTGCTGAAGCATTGTCCACATGCAGACCGAGGGGCTTCGGTTTTATAAATAGCCGTCATCATTGGTGGGTCATTTCCTGACAGGTGATGACTCATCACGACCTCATCCTGTTCCCTGGGCTCTCAGCCAATCACATCGCACGATCTCAAACAATAACAGCAACACAGGAAGCACATCACTGTAGGTCTGATCACAAACACTCACATGCACACTACTCACTGTACAGAGGTAATTTATGTAAGCCAATCCATTAATTAGCTATCCATTAAAAGCCACTAGTATTCATTAGACCCCGAATTTAGAGAACATAATAAATGTGAATATGGAGCCTTTATTGCAAAAAAAAAAAAAATACAGGCAAAATTGGAAAAAATCTCCTTAACCTTATTATAATTATAAATTGTATATATTATAAAATTGATTAATTTAATTTAGAAGGTCATAGTACCTCAGTTCAATTATACTTCAGGAATGGTCCCTATGACTGTGCCTGCTCAAATACAGTTTTTCTCAGTGGCTTTGGTGCATTTCTCACAACACTATTTACATTTTCACAACAGGTCATGCATTTCTCAAAACAATTAGTCATTTGTGCACATCATAGTAGCAGTTTCTCATTCCTTCCAACAAATTGCAGATGCTTTTGGACATGCATCAACTGCTTTCATACAACTCTCTGCTGTTTAGAACATTATCATTCGCTGATGTCATGTCAGTCAAAATTAACTAAACTCGTGAATGCTGAATAGTCATTCCATGTAAAACTACAGTTTTTCTATGTGGCTCACGTGCATTTCTCACAACACTGTTTACATTTGCACAACAGTAAATGCTTTTTTCGAAACAGTTACAGTTTTTCTCAGTGGCTTTGGTGCATTTTTCACAACACTATTTACATTTGCACAACAGGTAATGCATTTCTCTAAACAATTAGTCATTTGTGCACATCATAGTAGCAGTTTCTCATTCCTTCCAACACATTGCAAATGCATTTGGACCAGCATCAATTGCTTTCATACAACTCTCTGCTGTTTATAACATTATCATTCGCTGATGTCATGTCAGTCAAAATGAACTAAACTTGTAAATGCTGAATAGTCATTTCATATTAAACTAATAGTCCTTGTTTCATTACTTGAGTCATTACATACAAAAATGTTGAACTAGTTGTCAAAATCTGTCTAGCAAATTTTATTAAAAAAATGTTTAAACTTTATTTTCCTGAAAATGTCTTAAAAATTGAACAATTTGATGAATGATTTACAGACCTGTGTATGTTGTAGGTTCAGTTCCAATATGTACTGCAATATTGTCTTCAGTTGTGCACAGCTCAATGCACAATGCTGTGAATAAATTAGAATTGTAAAGAGCAAATGCAGTAAAAATGTGAAACATACATATTCAGTGTCTTGTACTCAGATGCCTCACTAAATGCAGTGATGTCTAACTTTACTGTAGTGTTCAAATGGCTGTGCAAATAGTATACAGTGCTGTCTTGAGCATTTTCAGCAAGTGTCACCAAAATCTTTTTTTCAAAGGCCTTTTTTTGCATT